AAATATTTACGTATTTTAAGAAAAGACATTGACGATATCATAACGAAAAACCGCGAAGATGACTGTATTTTTATTTCTGATATCGTTCGTCGTAGTAATATGTAACAATGTACAAGATCAACAAGAATTATTCAAAGGAACGAAGGCACCACAGAAAGAAAGAGTGATGGATAGAAAAGGAAAAAGTTCTGTAAACAATGCACTAGAAAGCAACTGACGCAATTGTCTCCGTCGTACACTGTTTTAAAAATTTATTTTCTTTTCCATCTGTCTGTTTTTCTTTCTCTGATTCATTCACAAGGAAAGAAAAGTTCAACGTTTACCTTCGACACTTGTCTTTTGCCTTTATGTAGATGATGGTGATCAGTGTTATCAATTGAAAGCTTCATATTATTATTTTAGATAATAAAATAATACTTATTGTTGATCTTCTTGTACATTGTTATATATTATTACGACGCACGATATAAAAAATTAAAAATAATGTAAGTTTCACTTGGTTCTTGTTTTTATTGAAGTTTTTCTTTTTGTTCTCCCCTATGAATCCTTGGCTAACATTTCTTCTTAAGCAAAAAGAATATTTTTCAATCTATGATAACAGGGTGGACAATACTATATATACATAAGCTTGTAAATTTTATTTAAAGGGGAAGAAGTTTATTTAATTATAGAGAATAAAAAGACTACTACATTATCTAGTATTTAAAAAGGAAAAATACACTTTATTCATTACAATGAAATAAAAATTGCAGTTTCGAACGCGTTGAATGGAACGTCCACATTTCTCTCTTCCACTTTCTTTTTGTTTCCATCTCGTTTTGCATAGGATATCGTTGTTGTTTTATCATGTTTAATTGAGACCTGGCAATGTGTAATACCAGTTAGGTCATTAAACAAATAATATTGATCATCATTTGTTTTGATCATTCCAATAAAGTGACCCACGTCGGTTCCTTCGCTCAATACGACATGCATCACCAGAGCTCTCAGCGAGTATCTAAAATTAAGATTTAAATGGTAGTAGTAACCAAGTAGGGATGCAAATAAAGATTCTACACGAAGTAAAGGTATGAATAGGAGATTCGTTACCGCTGTGAACCGATTTGGATGGTAAATGGAATACCATATAATGTTCTTGTATTGTGTGGTAAGTTTATAATTAGAAATGGAGGGATTTTCTCAAATTGCGCGATTTTGATAATTCTGTCCATTTCACATATAACAGTCGCACTGAAATGAATACATACTGTAAGAAAACGCGTAAGAAGTCAGGAAGATCAAGTAATCTTTACATTTTCGTAATTCTTTTTGTAATCAGGTCCTGTTCTTCTCGAGTGTCAAAGGCCCATTGGCCACTGTATGAGACTGGTTCGCCAGAATAATTATCCATGATCTTATAACGACATGGAACAACATTCTCAAATTCAAATTCACAGAATGACGTTGGAATATTTCCAAATTCGTCTTTACTAGAAAAGAATGAAGATAATGATTTATGTAGCAGAACTTCAGTTAGTACTTTAGAAGGTTCGGTGAATGAAGATTCGCCATATATCACGGAAAAAGAAACCTTGAAAAACTTTCAACAAACTATTCCTTAACGGCGAGATACTATTTCTGATCACATAGTCTTTATATTCGACCTACTTCAGTGATAAATCTATATGAATATTTCTGATTATTTTCTTTGGACACGCATCGTGCGTGCATTCAGTTTCGATTACATATTTTTGAAGTTGTTTCACTGAATTAAAAACTGATTGATCAACGGAACCATACAGGTCGGCTTTTGTGTCGGTCAGTTTGACTAAATTTTCGTCTAAAAGCCACTGAATGCGTCCAGCATCCCATCCTCGTCGTTGAATCAAACTGAACGTTGTCTGCAATCGATGACATATCGGTATACTAATATTGTTGGATATATATTCTTTGATGGTATTGTATGAACGATATAGGAAATAAAGAAGAAACAGACCTGTATCGAGATTACAAGTATTAGTGATCGAATATAGATGATCTTCATATATTTTGTTTGTTATAGACCATCGAGGCCACGTAATACTTATATTTCCAATACTTGTTATTTTATCGGTAATTAAAGCAGCAGTTGTTATTGTTGTTGAACTAGGTGGTGAGAGAGGTTGTGGACTGGGTAAAGGCAGTTTAAGAAATCCGATTGATTCATTAGAAGCAAATTTTATGTTTTTCTCTAATGGTGATTGACATGTGCACTCACTGAATGAAGGTAGCTCGTCATCTTTATCATTGATAATACTAAATACGAACGGAATGAGGAAGATTTTCGCGAAGTATTAAAAACAAATCTAAATCACATGCGTGCTAAAGACAGTGTATCAGTATACAACATACCCCTCTTCATCAGATAGTGGTTCCAAATCATTGATATTTAATATCTCATCTTCATCAGACACTTCATAATCGGC